ACTGCCTCTGCCTGCTCTGTGGTCACCCTTACCTCTTCAGTGGTCCACACAACAGCCCAGCCAGACAAATGTGCTCAAATGAGGTGTGCGCAGACAGCCGCACTGTCTGAATTATCCAGGGAATTACCCTGGGCCCACACCGGAGATCAGAGGCAAGCGGTGACAGTGCAGGGACATTGAGCTAGTGGGAGCCACCTGTAACTCCCACTAGGAAGAGGGAAAGCACATAGTAACTCTGGCTGTTCCCTCCTCCTGGGGCTGCAATGGTGCTAGAACAGTGATATCCCACCCATGACCTGGGGGGCCCTGATGCTTTTCATAGTCACGAGAGCCGCTCTCTGCTGAACAGAATACAGGGGGGCGAACCCACAAGGCACTGCCCAAGCCTCAGGTCTGCAGTTATACCTACAGCCTGTAAAATTTAGGGACTGCTGATCTACAGCCAGGATCTATCGCTACTCTGCTGGGGAGGAGATTCTTTCCCTTTCAGCACAGCTGTTCAGGCTGTGCCTCTGGGTAAAATTTGCCAGTGTTGCTTCAGGATTTAGTGAAACACTTGAGCATAGGCTCAGTTACCTTAAATTAAATCTCATGCTTACATGTGCTGCTGGATCCAGACCTGACATCCTGCCTTGTAATCCCTCAGGTCCCATAGATTTCAGTGAAAGATAAGGACATTGAGCACCTCAGAAAATGCATCATACCTCAAAGGCTTGGTCCCTGCATATGTAGTACTTGATTCAGCTTCATCCTCATCAGCTGTTTGACTCAGGAGATGGAGGGTAGCACTTCTCAGTGATGAAAAACAAGTTGAAGTGAGGCAGAAAAATCTGTGATAAATTAGTGTGGAAAGTGTTAATGGGGCCAAATGTCCTGAGTTTATTGGATTAGGGAAGTCAAACTAATTTTAAAATTATGCCTAGAGAGTGGGAAACTAGATATCGTTAGCCATTTATCTGACACAACAGAAAAGTCTTAATGGCTGTCATCTCAGCACATTAGGAAAACACTGTCAAAGCTCTGGCTGACAAGATGCTTTCTCAGGGATTATTAATTATATAGCATTATTAGCCAGCCACAGTATGGGAACATATTTCCCATGTTAACTAAAGTGTAACGACCATTTAGCTAATAAGTATGACTCAGCCTTTTAAATTTTCTTAATGATTAGCAACTTAGTAAAACTGTAACACTGAGAGATAAAAATAATGATTCAACTAGCTGTGTCTCAAGAACAAGTTTTAACTGGAACTTGCATGTAGCAAGGACAGATAAAGTGTACAGTTCTAATTACCAGCCTGATGTGACAAGACAAAAGTAAACATATCTGCAAATTTAACCAACTCGTATGACCCCTTCCTGCATCGTCATACATGCTAAAAGTGTACTTGTGGTAGTTCAGCGCAGCGTATCAGCTTGATCCTTCCACCGCAGCTCTGGTGAGGACAGGGGTTGCTGCAGCCTTCAGCAGCGCCGAGCTCTGCACATCCTGTCCCAGGCTGCAGCCTGCCCCACTGCAACCATTAGCAGAATTGATTTGAAACATCCCAGGATGAGCGAGGCATCATCTCCAGGGGAATATAAAATACATGAAATGATAGTAGTAAAATGCATGAAGGCACGTTGTCCAGTTACGGCCTAAGAAGGTCAGAGAGGGTCCCAACCTGGAAGGAGAAGACTGACTTCCCTTATATGCAGCAGCTGCTGCAAGGAAGCACAACCTGAAACTCGGCACTGACCAAGTGCAGGGTGTGCCTTGTTAGCCAGCAGGATTCACGGCATGCTGGCAGCAGACCGGGGAAAAAAAATCAATTATTGGCATGTGAAGTCTGCTGGCTCTGAGACTCCTGCTTCAAGCTACGTGGTCTTTACTATAGCTCAGCCAAAAGCTTCACAGAGGTGTGGGATGAAATGAGGAGAGAAAGTCTGATTAAATGTACACATAGCTTTCAGCTGACAACTGTTTTTACAGAGTCATTTTATTTAAGGGCCTCTAAACCCCCAGGTAGATCTTCTGGGAAGTTCAGGAATATAACTATGGGTAATGTTAGTGTTGTGGGCTTTGTTAAACTAATGTATGTGCTGTACTAAAGTAATTGGATCAGGCTTTCTATTATCATTCACCTAGTAACACACAGGAAAACAAAGACTGGCTGCTCAGAGTGTTGCTAAATAAATGACCCCTCACTGCTGAGTTACTGACAGTGTCACTGGCTGGTGCCCCTCAGGCATTAGGATGAAGCTCAGCAGAAGTTTAGCGAAGCAGGTTTGAACAGCCTTTCTCATGTTAAACCACCTGTACAGCTGTTGTGCAGCCATAGTTCGAGCTGTTCTGTTTGTACAGACTGGCCGGCTCAGAATGACCGAGTGGGGATGTCCAGGACCCTGGTACCAGCACCCTCACTGCCACCCTGCCTCTGCTGTCTCATCCTCCTGTTCCTGGAGGGAACCTAGCCTGGCTCTGCCCTCAGAGCAGGGACAAATCTGCTTCGAACCCCATGGCGCCCCAAATGCTCCTCCTGCCTATCGTGCCTAGAGAGGCCCCAGCACCAAGTTTTGAGCTGCACGAGCGTCCATGCAAGCAGAGGTGTGCTTTACAGTGGGCTTTTACAGGTGGGTGGTGGGGACAGCTGGGGTTAGATGCTGGCACACCTCCAGTGAGGGTTCATCCCAACACAGAGCCAGCTCCCACCGGCTCCAGGGCTGCTTCCCAACCCTGCAGTCTCACCTCTGGACCATCCATTTCAAAGGGATTTAGCTGAGGGCTTGCACAGCAATTACCACCCATGGAGCAAATGTGCCCTGCCAGGAAAATACCTCCCATCTGGAGTTGGACATACGTCCGAGATGTACAGAGGGAAAAAAAAACCAACAGCACAAGCCAACACATGCCGTAGATGTTGTTCATTGTCACCTTTATGTAACAGACATTGATAACATTACTGAAAGCAAGAACCCATCTCTTTTTTTTTTTTCCCTTTTTTTTACATTCAGACAATCCATTATAATATTTAACTAACTGCAGTAGACACCATGGAGAGCTTCTGAGCCTGCCGTCTTAGCTAGTCTCACCTGGGGAGACCTGTTTGCAGCACACAGACTGACGGTTCGACCCAGAGCCTGCGCCCCAGCTCTGCTGCTCTCTTCTGTGCACTGCAGCCTGGGCCCTGGTTCCCACACGCCCTGCATGCCCCATGTCAGTCCCAGGTCCCCTGCTGCTGTAGCACATGACAGCATTGACCCAGTTCTCCTCTAGTTAAATCCCAGCAGTCACTCCAGGAAAGTCTTTGGTGCAATCTTACTGCTTCAGTGCATATACCAGGGCCAGACACTTGTCCCAGTGCACCTCGTGGCTACACTTCCAGCCACTTGGAACGGACCAGCATTTGCTTTAAGGTCTTAATACCAAGAGAGTAAAGTCTACAAAGGAAAGAAGTTCAGGCACATGGAAAGGAGCACGAACCTTCCCTAAAACCAAACCCATAGCAGCAGCCTATGATCCTCCTTGGCCCATCTATTCTCATGCTTTTCATTATGCTTGATCCTCTGTTACGTTACGGTCACTGTTTCACTGGCAGTTGCGATGAGCTTGCAGTGACCAAGCAGTGCTGGTGTTTCATCTCTAAATAAATAATGGGTTTCTATCCTGAGAAAGTTGCTAGAAAGTAACCTGGTATCACGACAAGGAACATGCAAATCTTAAAAGTCAAGCAAACGAGAGCAGGCTTTTACAATGATTCCAACATATCCCCCCAAAAAGGAAGAAAAATCCTTGCAGTTTGATTTTGTCACATAAAAGTATCTCATAAAGAAGGAAAACGAGCACAAACAAGGCTATAGAAACAACACAACCTCCTTCTTGCACACTATCTTGGCTGAAGCACATTCAGCCAGCAAAACCCTAAGTGGCGCAAAGTGGGGGTCAGATCAGTGGGGCACCTTCCAGTTAATGCTGCAATACCCATTTCCCCTCTGGGTTATCATTAACTGTTACGGTACGGGCAGCCTGAGGCCTCAGCTGAAGCTGGAGCCTGTGGGTCTAAGCATTGTACAAAAGGAAGGGAAGGCAGACACAGAGGGTGGGGAAGGAGGAGCAGTGAGGGGGGTGACCTGGTGATGGTCACACCATGGGCGGGATGGCAGCAGGACTTGAGTCTCCTGACCTGGGGGCCCGGAGTGCCTGGGCCCATTGTGTGGTCAATGATGTGCCGTATCTTGTGCTGCAGCAGGGATAAAGGAGGGAGGAAAGGCTTCCTAGGAGGAAAGAGGAGGTAAATAGTCTGGCTGAAACGAAAGAAGAAAAATGCACATCAGCCCAGCCAGAGTTTCTAAGATTCTCTTAAAAAATGTTGTGACTTAGAGAAATCCTTTTGAGATTGGACAGCATTTCCATAATGCACGGATAGCAAAGCAAGCCAGGTGCATCCCAACCGATTCAGGTGGGATCCACCTTCTTCCTCTGCACAGGCAAGAGTAAGGGGGAGTTTGCTCAGTCTGTTTTCCTTAGCACCTCAGGCGATCAGTGCTGTGTGCTGGTGGCACAACTGCATTCTCAAGTCATGAGATCACTCAGCAGAAGGAAGCAGCAAGCATGGGACAAAAAGGTGAAAACATGAGACTACAGCATCAGCCGACCCCTCTTTCCTTCATTCCAGCTGAGTGATGACCCTGCTCAATGTAATGCTTTGCCAACTAGCAAGATCATTGTCCCACCGGGCTTTTCCAGTGGGGCACGGAGACACACATGTAACATATTCCTCCTGTCCTTCCCTGGCTTTTCCTGCAGCCCAGTTGTACCGAGTATTTCAGAGTAAAATGCCAGGTTAGCACCTGTGGCTTGGAGGTGTGAGCCTCAGCAGCCAGAAGGCACCTGACAAATGGGTCCTTCTGGTCTGCCAGCTGCAAGGTTTTTGTGAAATTAGACTTTTGCTCAACGTTCTTCCTGCAGTGCCTGAAGGAGGTCCATGCTCAGTCCCTCCTTTCTGGGTGCGTGGCGATGTCTATGCCTCCTCACTGCCTCGCAGGTTTTCCAGCTCAGTCATGGCTTTGTGCAGGAGCTTCTTGCGGCGGAATACAGCCGCGATCTCCTCAAAGGACTTTCCTTTCGTCTCCGGTACTTTGAAGTATGCAAACAGAAAGAAGACTAGAAGCAGAGCCGCAAAGATCACAAACACGTATGGTCCACACAGATCCTGCAGTGGGGGAAGCGAGAACAGGGGACACCACCATCAGCACCACAGGGATGGCTTCCCCTTCTTACCCTGGGTGGCTGAGGTGCCCAGTGGGGCTTGGGGATGGAAATCTGGGAGGCATGTCCACATCCCGCTGGGTTGCTTCGGGAGCCCAGCAGTGAGGTTGTGCCAGTCACTTATTTGTATGGTTTTAGAGGGATTTCTTACCGCTATGTACTGGAAACACATTCCCACGATGAAGTTGCAGGCCCAGTTGCAGAAACCGGCGACGGCAATGGCGGCGGGGCGCGGGCCTTGGCTGAACAGTTCGGCTACGATAAACCAGGGGATGGGCCCGGGCCCAACTTCAAAGAAGATGACGAAGAGGAAGATCGCGACCATGCTGACATAGCTCATCCAGGCAAACTGGCTCTGCAAGAGGGTGCACTCGGTGTTACAGTCCCAACATGACTCTCATTAATTATCTCTAATTACTTTAATTAGCCTTCTTTTTCAGAAATTTCTTTCTATTCAGACAAGCGGAGGCTGGACATGAATAATTAAAGCTTTAAACTCTTGTGTCGGGTGCTGGCTGGGTGTGTGGTGCCAGCGTTGCCGCTTGCAGAGAGATGTTTGAGCTCACAGTTATCAGCTCAGCTGTACCCTTGAGCCCTCTCCTTGCCTGCAGCATGGCCAGGAAGAGGCAGGATGGTGTTGTCTTTAATAACCAGGGTGTTCAGTAAAGGAGGCCACCCCTTATTTGGTTTTACATCTTGACAGGGGCTTGCACCAGTGGTTTGGACTGAATTTGATGGGGGCTGGCTCCATCCTCTGCCTGTTTTGCCCCTTGTCTCACAGCCTGACCCCTCTCCTGGGTGTCAGAAGAATAATTTGTCCCTTTTTTTATGACAAGATGCTAGTCTAGCATCCCTGCACCGAGCCAGGGAGATGCAGGTTGAGGGTTTAGGGCACACACTGCGCGTGGAGGTATGCCCTGGGTTTTCTTAGCAGCCATGGGATTATGCCGTGGGAATAGCGCAGTTGCTGTGTAAGGAGCTGAGGTTGTCAGCAGGCTCAGGGAGAGGACAGGGGACACACGTCCTTTCTAGCAGCATTGGGGTATCTCAGGGGCCAAAAAGCGCAATGTCCTCAGGCACTGCTGTAACCAGAGGTGGCTCCAGCTATGGCCACTTTGAAGTGTCCCTTCTAAGGACAAATGTTTTCTGAACTTCTTTGAGATGAAAATGCAAAACATTCACTTTAAAGGGTGGTTTGTCTTCTCTTGTTTGCAAACCATGGAGAAAAAAATGGGGAGAAATCCTTACCAGGAGCACAAGTCCAACTGTCATGGCCACGGCGCTTATTAACATGCCCATCAAACCAGCCAGGAACAGGGACCGCCTGCCCGCCTTCTCTACCAGAAAGACCTGTAGAAACACGTGCAGCAGCTCAGTCTCCAGCACTGAAGCTCTCAGGAGGTTTGATCAGGTCCATTAGCAATGAGCAACCTGTTACCACTACAACACCACACTCCTGCTCTTTTAGCTCTCATGGTAGAGATTTATGTGCTGGTTTCCAAGTGTCAGAAACTGCTGGTGGCTGTTAGGGGGCTAGACTGAGCAGCCACCCTGCCGGGGGCAAGG